TTCGCAACGCCAAAGAAGTATTGCGCAGTGGCAGTTCCTAAGTGACAAAACGGAAGACGAAGCATACGGGCACCCCCTTGGATTACAGTCATACGCGCAGTCAATGGGAAGATTGCATGATTGGCCTGCGCGTTGGTTCGTTTGTGTGGTGCGATGAATGTTGGCTGGCCAAGGCTCACAGTCTTTGACCTTACTCTTACCACCATCGTGCGTTTCCCTAGGACAGGAGTGTGCATTCCAGAAGGGGAACATCATCATTTTCCGCTACTCCGAGAGGAAGTTTCTCACCAAGTAATCCTGCTTGACAATAACGAGGCTGAGATCGGGTCACACAGGATAGTACTCTGTTCCCAGTTCTTCTTTCACGATACGTATTTCGTACACAGAATGGCCTTTAGCCACCCAGAGCGAACCATTTTTCAACAGCAACATGAGTGTGTGGAGTGGTTTAACACGGCCTGTTCACGATCTCGGTCCCATGTCGCAGCCGGCAAGGGAACGATGTGTTGGGCCGAGCAAGGAATGCTGAGCACCTGTCGACGAAGCCCGATTGACGAATGAGATTTTGCTCCTCCTCCCTGCCGTTTCTCAGTTCACACTCACGGAGGCTACAGCCGATGTCCGAATTTCCGGACGAGCCATGCTGAGTGTGTCTACGAACCAGGCTCTAGTAAGAAGGAAGACTGCCGCACCGGGCTTACTCCTCCGTCGCAGACCGGCACCGGCGCCATTGGATTTGGGTGGGACAAGCCTGGGTCGAGATCTCAAAGTCTTTTGACAATTGCACGTTGCTAAAGTCGGATTCAACACGAATGAGGTAGACACATGCAGTACCAAGCAAAAACCCTCGAAACCCTGTCGGCAGGCCTCGCGGAGTCGCTGAGGATCAGACTCGAACTATGCATTCTCTTTGGGGAAACACCTCAACATGCAACGCAACAGACATGCCACAGGGGCGTTTGGGGAGGGCGCATCCTCATTATTCGCCGCCCACCGACGCGCATGCAATCCGTCAGCAGAGGTATGTCCAGTTTTCTCGGTTGAAGGCTGAGATATTACGACGCCTACACCCCTCTCGTCCCATTACCGCTGTTCTCTGACCCTGACTGAAAGATAGGATTGCGAGGAGCCAGTCTTGGTTGGCCCTTCACCAGTCATGATGCTTGTCGCTATTTTCACGTACTTCCCGATGACTGGACGACGCCCAACACCACCTCAGTGGTGGCAGAGTCTTTGTGGAGGACCCTCCCGTGCTAATTGACCGTGTCTCTTACAGCACATGTCTGGGGGCCGGTACCTCAAATCTTTGCTGCATCCGCAAATGCAACCACTTTGGCCCGCTCCATCCATTCGGTTGTCTGGCAGCCTGGCAGGGGAAACGCGGGCAAGACAACCCCCTTCGCGTGTCGCTCATGGGGTATACTGCGTACACAGTAGTGTCTATGGCGAACAGGGTCTTTGATGTTGCAGGGATCTTAATGACCTGGCCGAGCTCATGAATTCGGGCACAGTGGACGGAGCAGCATTGCCCCTGCGCGCAGCGTCGCCCAGCTATTCGGCCGGCACGATCGGCGTGGCCCATGACGCCGCTGTATTACAGATGTTTTGTCATTTGAAGTGTCTCGTTGCTGCCACAGCCGAAGACTTTGTCGAAACGGGCGTGCCACTCACCCACCATCATCATCATCAGTCAGAGGTGCATCCATTCCTTCAAGCGCCGTGCCCACTCCTTAACCGAACCAGCTCGTGACTGAGGCCAGACAACGATCCAGTCAAGCAGCCCACAGAGTCCAAGCTGACAATAACACAAAGGCTGGGTTGTGCATGACGTGCCTCGACGGAGTGTGTAACACTTTGGAACCTCGAGAACAGCCGACTCTTTGTCTACACTGTTTCCCCTAAGAAATTGCAGTCCATCTCGCTTGCAATGGTTGCTCACGAAATGCATCCGCGCGACAGCAAGTTCTCTGACGCATAGAAATGGCGAACCCCAAGCCGCGGTTTCATTAGGGTGAGGACGAAAACGCAAAGGGCGTGGGCCAGACGGAGCCACGGAAGCATCCAAGTTCCTTTGCTCAAGGATCGGCCGTGGACTATTTGCTTGCTCTACCCTAGCGCTGGTTCAACCACGGGTATTCGTACGGATACGATCCCTTGATTCTGTGCTCGATTTCTACCTATAGGTGAGCAGAGGGCCTGCGCCTGGGCCATGCATCAGTCGTCAATTTGACAGCCTCGTCTTGCAGCAGCAGGCTGGCAAGCAATCAATGCTCAATGGTCTCGGCTTTGGCGATACGCTACAATCATCCATCGCTTCCTCTTGGTTCCTGCAAGTTCTTCATCAACCAACACCATTACTGGGTATACATCCAATGTGGCTTTGGTGTTGACCCTTGAAGGTCTTTCGAGGAAGATGAAAGATGTTGGGGGCGCTGCTCACCACATTGGCAGACTTCGCGGCAAAACATGGCAAGAACAGTATGTTATTTGATTTGCTCGCCGAGCTAACCACCTAGCTCTATCAATTTTGGCCATCCTCAGGGCTCGGCATCTCTGCTGCGTTCTATTTTGGGGTAAAAGACCAGATCAAGTAACTAGGGCCGTTGCGTTGGCGAAGAGTCTGGCAGACTCCTTAATCCTCCAAGCTTGATCTCATTTGGGATCACTTTATTGTCGCTTTATTTCTTTGATCGCTTTGCACGACAAGGGGCTGGCCGTCGGGCAAGAGAACGGCGGACAGAGGGCCAAAGACAGCAATGGTGTCCTGGCAACCCTGGTCCGGCTACAACCACGAATGAAGGAAGCGGCATTGCACAAGACAACCTAGACAAGAACAGACGCAGCAGCAATATCGATTCGGCCGTCCAGGGGACGATCCTCTCCCGCGCATCTGAGAATGAGACCCAGTCGGTGCCGCCGTCCACACGACCTTGGAAGTTGGATCACCATTCCTTTCTCAGCAGTGGGTGTTGTCTCAATGCCTGGGAAGAGTCCAGGATGAGGGGGTGAGGGGCTTCGAGGTTCTTGGACTGACCGCAGTTCGCAATGCTACGCAGCGCCCACTGCCCAAGGCATATGATTAATGTCGACGCAGGACTAGAGGGGTGAATGGGGATTTCTTAGTGGAGGTACCAGCGTCGACAGCAGCGAGCATACCTACATACATTGGCTTGCTCCATCACACCTAGCGTTCTGGAAGCCATGGACGTACCTACGCGACACAAGACAGGACCCTGCAAACGGACTTTTGACGGCGTACGCACGGCAATACGTGTGCCATCCGGACGGAGCGAGGCAAGGGACAAGATGCCTCCCCGCACTACCACGGCCACGATACCAAGACTCCAGTGACCAGACTACCTTCCTAGCATCGACATCCACCTAGATCACAATTCACACCGAGTCAACGCCAGCAAACAGGCGAAAAGACGGTGCGCTGCCGTCAGCGGCCGTGTTTCTGTTGCGGGACGCAAGGTGACACAAGGGATCGTGCCTCACGTCGGTCTTGTGTTGCTTTCTTTGCCCTGGGCTGGAAAGTTGACTCGCCTGCAAGCAGCTGGACTAAATTGGATCGGCCATTTCTCACCCATCGAAATGCCAATGCCAGCCTCTTTTGTGCGTCGAGCCACGACAGTGTGGGCACGGATATGGAACTGCTACTGCGGTGCAGCACCAATGCCTGGGTTAATTCAACATGCTGGGTCGTCTGGGATTTGCCGACCTCTGAAGATCTGAGCTGTTGGGCACGCCGCACGAATCAGAGCGACGGGGACTAGACGTCTTGCAAAGTAAGGTGTTCCTTGCCAGATTTCTTCCCTACCGTTGTTGACTTTGGTCAATTTGAGAAGCGCTGATGTGCGGAGGCGAAATAAGGTCTCGAATGTACGGTGCCCTCATTCCGTCTGGCCTACCGCGAACCTGTGGCATCTATTCGATACGCAAATGATCGTGGAGCTATCAGTATTTGATGGGATGGATTGCAAGCAGGCGTTCGAAAGTTTCGCAATTTGATGAGACAGTACGGACTAGGCATGTGAGGTATCTATACGCAGTACATGTTGTCAGGGACTTGGGCTATATCGAAACAAGGCTATGCCCGGGACAATACCACACACCACAATTCGTACGCGCACCGGAAGCTTAGACGAATTTTCTGGAGTGTTGTCAAGAGGGTTAGGTGTGCTTGAGTCACTGTTGCTTGAGCTCCGTGAAGGTTGGAGGGGACGGAAAGTCCCGTCCGACAACCGTACGTTGTTCGAGTTGCAAGTCTGCGTCACTTTTGGGAAATTTGAATGCTGAGCATAACTTAGCAAAGTGGACGCAGACGCGCGAGTCACGGTCTGTTTAGGATGTTTCTCTGGCGAGGCCGTCATATTGCTGGGCTGAACGTACTCCGTTCACGAGGGCGCAAGCAAATTCTGCTTGGAAACGGACGCTGGAATCTCGTCCCGAAAACTATCCTGCAGCATGCGGCACGATGGCAGCCGAGGGCGGGCGTAATATGCCCCAAAGACGGCGGCCGAGGAAAATGACGCCCGCGTTACCGAAAGGGTTTGAGACGAGAGGAATCTATGTAATGGGCCGGGGACCATTACAACCGGGATGAAAGCATGTCGCGGAAGCAGGTGTTACGAATGGGAACTCAGCCGTGGACGAACCGACCATCCAGAGGCGCTGCAGCGGCTAGTGACTCAAGACAACGAATGGAAACCAAGGCCACTTGGGTTCGAGGCATCGAAGACGGCCAAGCCCTGATACGGCGTGGTCCAAGGTTATCTCAAGGCTCAAAGACAGTCAGGCGAAAAAAGCATTGCATGGCCCATGTAAGGTGCTTCGCCCACTGTGCGGTGCAGTTCAGCCAAGGTTTTAGCAGGATGCAGGTGCTCTACGGATACAGGGCAGACGTACCTTGTATGAGCAGAGCCCAAAACGAACGAAGGCCGAAAGAGTTTGGTGTGGGGTTGGTGCCGCATTGCGCGGAGTGGGCGTGAGTGTGGATTATGAGCCTGTGGATGGGATGGGACGAGATGCTCAAGAGTATCCGTAAGTACCACCGAAATGTGCCAGTGATGGACATGCTGACGATGGATGGGGCTCGCTGTTGCGCTAGGGAGCCTACTGATACTGTACGGATACACAGCGCAGCGCAACGCAACGCAACGCAACGCCCCCTCGCCGGTCCTGTTCCGTTTGTGGTACGAGGATGCACAAGCCGAGCACTTCACACACCCAGCGATCCATCATACAGCGACCCAGGCAAGCCAGGTCAAGCCTACATAGTACTCCATACAGAGATGTGCTGTATTATCCGACCCCTGTTGGACTGCTCTGGGACAGTTTATATCTGACGGTGCCTGAGGCGTTTGAGACGGTTTCTTGCCGTCAAGGTGGGCGATGGCTGAAGCTATCGCTGACGGGCAAGCCTGTAGGCCGAAACACTTGTTGGTTGGTGTACACTAAGTAGGCTGATGCTCATTTGCTGACGATATCGAACTGGCTAACTGCGACTATCACTAGGACATCACAATGTCGGTATTCGCAAGAAGCGACCTGTTCGCGACGAAAGGGGAGAGTCTCTGTAGTCGGCACCCACGCCTGGATTCCGGTGGCCTCTGCTATCGACCGACAAACACGTCTCTAGCATTCTCTAGTCACCGTTGTGGATTGGTAGTGCAGCGAGCGGAGGTGCAGCTCTCGTCTTCCATGCCGGCCTCTTCCCTGTCCTGCCCGTCTGGCTAGCCACTGGTCAGTGGTATCTGGATGGGAAGACTGCAAAGCTATGTGCGGGCTCAACTGGTCTCTACCCGCCGCCATGTCGTGGTAGCATAGGTAATTAGCGGTCCTCTGCTTCCTCCCTGTACGCGGCGTGCCCCCCCTTGTCAGTCATTTACGGCTACTTCGTACTCCGTTCAGCAGAGTCGGAGTCGTAGTCGTAGTCGCACCCGCACCCAGGACCGAAGAAAGGGCCACTTGACAACCCCACCCGACCCCAAGACCAAACCACGCCCGAGACCCAGGCCCTAGTGTGGCTCAATCAGCGCAGCAGATGGAAAAAGAGGGTGAGCAGTGCTGGCAGGGCGGTGGTGCAGGAGAAAGGGGGGCATGAGAGGGGGAGATGGGTGTGAGAAGCGGAAGCTCCAGGAGAAGAGCAGAGAAGTGAGATGGGGGGGGGGGGGGGGGGAGTGGCTGCCCCGCGCGGGGGGGGGGGGGGGGGGGGGGGGGGGGGGGGGGGGGGGGGGGGGGGGGGGGGGGGGGGGGGGGGGGGGGGGGGGGGGGGCGGGGGGGGGGGGGGGGGGGGGGGGGGGGGGGGGGGGGGGGCGTCTGAATATCAAGTTCTGTTGCCTTCTCCTCGAGGCTTGGAGGAATGCGAAGTAGCATGACCCGGCCCATAATTGGCTGGAAGGTTAAAGATGGAAAGGCAATGAGGCGCCCGGCGGATAGGCGCACGGGGACGGGAAAAGCATCAAGCATGCCTTCCCCTCCCTCTGGTTCTAGGATTGCTTATTAGACCATGAGAGCTGCGTGAGAGAAGTTGAGTCTTGACATTTGACGTCTTGCAGTAACTCATTCGGCTTTGCTGACTGGGCGAAACAGTGGACGAGGGCGTACTGGGCGCTGTCGTTGATTCGACTCGATTGGATCGGTACAGACATACGGATGGATACAGATACAGGAACACTTGAGATGGTGGAATTCGGAGTACTTTGATCTTCAGTATGAATGATAGCGGAGGGTAGGTAGCTTTTCCTCGTCACCTTGTTTCCTCCTCGCGCCCTTGTCGAGCTGGGCTCTACGTACCTTAGTGAGGTACCGCGTACTGCGTCCCTACTGCGATAGGTGCCAGTAGCACGTGAGTGGATACAGAGTACTTGTACGTACTACAAGGTGTCTGGTCCTTTCTTTTCCTTTTCTTGCAGCTCCACGACTCCTCTTTGGCGTTTCTTTCAGCCCTCCACCCACACAAGGTATCAGATATTCCTTGCCTGTGCTCGCGAGCAGCTCATCAAGGACGTTCAAAGTCTCTTCTCGGTACGAATTGACACCCGCACCCGACTTCAGAAAAGTGGTGGTGGTGGCCTTGCCTGCAACATAGGAAGCCTGAGGTGTGGTGCGTGCAGCATGCCCTGCACCTGGCACCTGCTCTCCCCCTCTGCTGGGGCTGCATCCAGACCAAAAGTTGCCTGATTGGCTGAATCGACCTGATTGGCTCGGAAGTGGAGACCAACCCTCAAGACCGATGGAGAATCTGAAAGAAGGGGAAAAAAACGACCACTCAGGTGCCACTCCACCATCACGGAAAGAAAGGACAGAAAACTTGCATCTTCCTTTCCGCCAGTGGCAGTTCCATCCGTCCACTCGCAACCTTGGAAGGTCTGAGTCCACAACTTCTTCCTCTGGTCTAGCCGGCAGCCTTTTGCAACTTTGCACATTTGATTCAGACACGACTCTTCTTTTTTCACCTGGGCTTTGAATCTCGGCTTGTTTTCACCTCCACGCCCTCGCCCTCGGTCAGTAGTACGGATACAATCTACACACCCTTCCGATACACCACCTACCTACACTCTTGTGTAGGAACCACGCCCCCATACCCCACGCCCGCGCCCACGACTACACTACGAAAGTGCGAATGCTCAGGATTCAACCCTGAGCAGAAGTGTATTTGTACACCTCATGCGGCATGCTCACTTCCCACACCAAATCTCAGGCTCGGGGACTTGCTGCTTCATCGCCGCCGCTCTCACACGGCCTGCTATTTACCGCACCTGAGCTGAAGGTGGGCCCGTCGCGCTAGGTAGAATTCGGGTCGGTACCAGGGCCTAGGCAAGAGTCTGGCGGAAACCTCAGACGGGGGCAGGCGGACGAAGGCACTTGGACGCCGACGGACCATCACCGACCAGGCTAGGCTTGTAGTACGTCTGCCCGATACGCTGTGCTGGATCATATTCAAGGATGGGATTGAACATTGACGACGGAGCAGAGCATCCATCTGTCGTGGTCGGGGTCACAGTTACGGTCACGGTCATGACAGGGGGTGTCCTCACAATCATTGTCGAATGGCTACCAAACCACCTGGGAACGGGACTGCGACTTTGGACGGGGACTGGCCGGTCAGAGCCTTGGACTGTTGGAGGACAATCGGTCTGGCAGATTCCAGGTTGTCTGTCACTCACTCTGCGTCTAATAACGGGACCATGCTCTGCGGATGCCTCCAGGCTTTGTCAATCACGATACCCCAAATGTCTCGTTGATCCGCGCTCTGTACGGATACGGAGTATCGATCTGTGAGGTGTGATCTGTGAGTGCCAGGGACGAGGAGAGGAAGACACTGAGGACTAATGAACTCTGGAGCTGCGTAGGCTTGCTTGGCTCGGCTGGGCTTTCTTTCGCGTGCCTCGACTGTGCCTCGCCTTGCCATCTGGCTGCCTGTGTATCGAAAGATGCACATACGCGGCGCCTCCTCATGGCTGACGCTGGTTGAGGTTGGGATTGGTGTTGGATCAATCACCATGGATGGTGTTGGTGCCGGTGCGAGATGCAAGTGCATTGCCGCAAGGCAAAGCGAGGTACGTATCGATATACCGTGTATCGTGTTCCGCATCGAAAATGGCCAACCACTGGAGACTGGAACCCCCGAGGCATGTGTCTTTTTGGTGGCGCAACACGAGAAAAGGTACATACTTCCATGCCCCAGGTGGTGGACGGGAGAGAAAAAAGGTACCTCAAGCCAAGTACCTCTGCTCTTTCCGTGGTATCCTCGTGCATTCTGCTTCTTTCCCCCCTTCCTTCCTCCCTCTCACCCTCTGGGTTCAAGACCCACTTTGAGATTGCCTCGCGACATGGTTGGCCCAAAGTTCTTTGCGTACCTGAGCCAAATTGTCTCTTAGTCTCCTTGAATCCTTCCTGACTTTTGCATTTTTTGCGGCTTGTTTCCATAATCGGCTTGGTTACGTGGTTGCTTGTTGAGGGGCGGGCGGACGGGCTAGCTGAGAGGGACGGCTACGGGGAAAGTCTGGCTCCAGGTTTGTTTGCCTGCCTTGTTCTTAACTCCCTCCAGGCTCCGAAGAGGTACACATATTGCTGCTCTTGCTGGTATTGTGTGGCTGCAAAGAAGCGTACGGACACTTTGTGGAAAGCAAGGTACTTTGTGCACTGAGTGGTTGTCCTCAAGGCGACACTTCCCAGTACGGATACCTTACGGTCCTTATTACCACAACCTACCTGACTTGGAGGGGCACCCAGTCAACGGGACTACGGAGGACACAGTAGGGATAGAGACGGACTTAGCTGCAATGGAAGTTGCAGAGCAAAGCAAGTATCTAATTCTGGGGTCATGTTCCTTGCTAAAGTTGCCTTCTTCCCTGGACTCTGGAGCCCCTGCTCCTCTCCGCCGACCGACCATGTTGGTGCTTTTTTGCCAGTTGGTGTGGTGTGGTGTGGTGTGGTGTGGCAGGTTGGTGCTGCCGGTGCTGGAGCTTCCCGTTTGAGGTGAGGTGCGGCGTCGCCCTTTTCTTTCTTTGCTCCTCCGACCTCCACAGCTGAATCAAACCTGCGCTTGCGGATGGGTTGTTTTATTTGCTGGAGACCCGTACCCCCCGTCGGGCAGGTAGGAATCGAACAAGCTGGATGGTAAGTATCTTCTTTCTCTTGCCCACCTCACCTGCCCCCCCTTCCCCTCCAAGTCAAAGACTAAGGACAGGGCACGCCGCACCGTAGGCCGCACATGGAACAAGGTACCTTGGTCCCCTCCCCTCCCACGTCCCTTCCTCAATCCTCATCCTCATCCCCATACTTGAGGGTACGGAGATACACGGTACATCCCATCCATCCCTCCATGTCCCATGTTGGCTGTTCCGGGTCCCGTCCCTTTCCTGCCACAGTGCCACCTGCCTGCCCTTGCCCAAAACCCCCAATCCCAATCCCATGCCTTCCCTCATCCACTGCGACCACAGACCTGACCCAGACGAGGACCCATAACCAGGGCGCGCGGAGACGGATACTTCTCCTCTCACACAGCGCTCGCACAAGACATCCGTATCTAGTGACTTTGCCTACAATCTGTGGATGACCGGCACATGCGCTACTGGGCCTAGGCTGGGAACTAGGTACTTGACTTTCCTTGGTAGTGAGGTGTGTTCCTTATTTTTTTTAACCTTGCCTTACTCACTCATGTCTCTCTGGCTGCGGGTGTTGCTGCAAGTTTTCTCCAAATAATAATAACAATTAAAATAAAAATAAAAATAAAGACGAAAAACGGAGAAGCAGAGAAAGAGAGAGAGAGA